ACTTGCTTATCTTTTACAGATCATTATTTCTAATTTTGCGCACCAGGTTTCTCAACTCTTTTGCAAACTCGCAACTGATATCAGTATTGTCCATCAAAAATTATAAATACTTATCTTTTTATATAACAATAATTTTTAGTAAAAAGGACCAAAATATAAGAAAACATACAGCTGTCAAAATTTGTCTCTAAACATAAAACTAAGCCAGAAAATATAAACAAGACTATCAGTCGTAAAAATTGTTCTAGAAAGGAATAAAGCCAACAGCATATTAAGCCTGCAAGAAACAGTTATTAGGCTTCTCAATATCTTTTGTGAAAATGCTGTGCAGTTTTAGCATGTTGAGAATGCCCACTATTAAAGACTGCAAAGTCCTCTACAGGGTATTCTTTTACTACCTCCGCTGAAGAACACTTTCCCCCTCCCGCCCCAGACAGTATCAAATACTCTTTCTTTTCCAATTATTAAAGATAAATATTAGTAATAAGTCTTGGACTAGAAAAATAATTGCAATAAAAAGGCACTCAAGAGACATTTTTATCCTTTCAAAAGGATTCTGAAACTGATATTAGTCCTGTTGCATGTGCAAGCCTATTGTCATTACTTGTACTTTTATTATCTTTACTTTCAATTTACATCTCTAGGAAGGTGATCTTTGCTTTCCCTGGGTTTGTAATTATCATTATACTTTTCTTCCTTCATCCCTACAGTGTCCTTACTACTCCCCTTGAAGTTTTTCCAATATGTAATTGTATTGTGGTACTAGCAGTCTTCTTAATTTTTCAGTTACTATATTCCATTGTAAAATAATTTTTGTGCTAACATTTTAGCATTCATAGTATCTTCTAGTCAGCAAAGCAAAAAAAAGAGTGAATGCTTGTCCCTACACCAAAACTAGCTATGGAGATTTTTCAAAAACTTTCATCCTATTCATGAGTACCACGATAACTGTGGATTAGATCCAATACAAATACTTAAAAATCAGGCACAGCAACTATAATGCACATTTACAGAGTGAAATTTGAGAGTTGTTATCTGTAAATAAGTGCAAAACATTCATCTTCTGGAGAAAGCAGTAGTGTTCTGCACAGCCTGGGTAAATTTTTTGTTTAGGATATTCAAATGCCATGAGCATATCCTACTTGCACAAGCTTGTCTGAGCCCTCACCTCCCAGGACTTTTCCTTCTGCATCCCATGAGCTTTAGCTCTGGGAGTTAATGTCACTGTGCCTAAGCAGAAAAGCTGTTGACTAGACTTTACCACACAGCTCTCAGAAAACTTCTGTATAGTCTTAGACCCAGGAAATTCAGCTCCTTGTTGTTTACACAATTTTAAGAGAAGCCTGCAAAGAGAGACAGTAACAGCTCTAAGGAGCTCAGAGCTGCCTGTCACTCAGCAGATATGCACAGTACTCTGCACTGGCATGTCCAAGGGACTGGTGGCTTCAGGCCACCTATACAGTATTTCTGTAGCCCACAAAAAAGAGGTGACAAAATCAGGTATAATCAAGGACAAATCTTAGCTGCTAGGATGAAATGGAGACCTCCAGTTGTCTGGAGATGATAACAAGTTATTTGAGGATGTTAGTATGTGAAAGCTTATGGCTATACCCAGAAAGGGTCTTAGACCACTTTATTCATCAGTCCTCATCAAGAAACCGCTTTTTGCAGGGAGGCAAATACTCAGGCAAATACTCAGGCAAACATTTCAAGCTGGCAATTAGATACTCAGCTTCTCAGATGAAGGACTTTTAGGCTTGAACATTCACCTTATCCCTTCTAACTGACTAATATAAGCAGCTTCTAGTTGAATTCTATTTCTACAGCCTAGTGACCCAATGCAAAGTGTATGGTACGTCACTGATTTCCAAAGAAGCAGGCATTGCAATGCTGAGCATGAAGTTGTCCAGAATATTTGTATGCCTTCGAAGCAGTGAAGTATCCCACAGTACTCCCAGCCTGGTCAGCTACAGTGGCCCATGGTGAATAGACACCTTCTACCTATGTACCTAGCATTCCTG